TTTTAACCAAATAAGACTTTTTGGACGAACTTAAATTAAAAAAAAAAAAAAAAAAAAAAAAAGTCATTGTCCACCCCGTCAACAAGCTCACATATGTATTTTGCTCATTGCGTGTATATTTGTCTGCTTGCAGATATTTATCCAAGTATGGGACCTTAGCCAATTTGGATTTCCAATCTCATAACATGTAATTACGATGGATATGGAAAAAAAGGGTTTTTTGTGGTGAAATAGGAAAGTCTCATTATATCGACCCAAATGTAGGATTTTCTTTTTCTTGTGTGGCTTCTCCTTTAGTTGTGCACTTTTAACCCACTCTGTGAAATGTATATTGACACGAGTATATTTCAAAAGTATGTTTCTCAGGTTAATTGAAGACTCAAAGTATCCCATAGGTGTGGATGTGAAGGGTTGTTGTTTGGCTGGCGAGTGGCGTTTTTAGTATGACTTACAAAAAGTCTCATGTCTTAAAATTGGCGACTTAAGTCTGACTCAAGCCTAATCATGTGACTGGAGTCACCGACCTTTGGATTTTAGTCGGTGAGTCTTATTTTATGCATGGTTCTTATTCAATGGGAAAGTCTTCTACCAAGGCAGTAAGGTGGCCATTCTGTGTGAGCTCAGTGTGAATAATGCACTCTGTTTTTTGAATGCTTTAAATGGAGAGAGAATCTCGTGCTGGTGTTGCTGATGCTCTTGTGGACTGACCTTGCAGTTCTATCCAGCTGTATCCATGTGAAATTCCCCAGTTGGAGCGCAGTTTGCACATGTAGCGGTTTGAAGCGCCGCTATCCTCCGGCAGCACTTTTTCAAAGATGAGCGACAGCTGGCCTTTTTGATACTCGCAGCGGAAGTCGCTTTTGGTATTTTTGCTGTGCTTCAATTCCCCCCCACTGTTCACTTGACACAAAGGCTTGTGGTTTTGGGACCACTCCATGTGTTTGACTGAGAGCCCATCCCTCTGTTTTGACACGTTGCAGCGTATTGTCACTGACTTGCCACACTCGGCTGTAACGTTGCTGACGCTCACCAACCCTGCAAACAAATGCACAGACAATACATTGACAATTCATAAATTTGTCATAACACTTGCTGCTGGCCTCTGAGAAAAAGAGGGAAGCCTGTGAGTGAAATACTAGCTCGAGACAGCATCAAAATCAATTAGGACAAAGATAGATGCGTACCTTGTGTTCCAAGAGTCAATTCAGTTAGAAAGCAGACAAAGAGCAGGCTTGTGAATTTCATCTTTGGTCCGCACCGTGGAATGGAACGTGTATTAAGAAGATGGCAGAGGGACGAAGACCTTTTGCTTTCAGTTTCTTCATGCTGCGGCACACAGTTCCCGGAGTTCACCATGTTAATGATTCATGAATCGTGAAGAAACACAAACAGGGTTTCTCACATGAGGGATTCTGGACAATGAGTAAAGCTGTGGAGAAAATGGTGGATGTGTGTGAGAAAGTCAGCATTTTCAGATCCTTTTTGATGGGGCAGTAACAGTTGAAATCAAAAGGCACTTTGTGTGAAAGCCTTTGATATGTTGCAAGAGTCCATTTCGGCCGGTTTACAATGAAGACTGCTGATTGTTAAATTCACAGGCAAGACTTGGTCAAGGGCTCCCTCTGCAGGAGTTTCAAACTCAATTTACTTCAGGAGCTTCGATGATCGCAATTTGATGTTCAGTGGGGCGAAACAGTATATTTGTGGCGATGACAAGTGCGTTTTGACAATATTGACATGTATTGATAATCTTGTGGGTGGCCCGGTGGTCCAGTGGTTAGCACGTCAACCTCACAGTGCAGTGGTACCGGGTTCAATTCCGGATTCAGCCTCCGTGTGTGGAGTTTGCATATTCTCCCGGGCCTGCGTGGGTTTTCTCCGGGTACTCCTGTTTCCTCCCCCAAAAATATGCATGACAGGCTGATTGAACACTTCAAATTGTCCCCTGGTGTGAGAATGAGCGCGGATGGTTGTTCGTCTCTGTGTGCCCCGGTTCAGGGTGTCCCCCGCTTACTGCCCGGAGACAGCTGGGATAGGTTCCAGCACTAGCCGCGACCCTTGTGAGGATAAAGTGGATCAGAAAATGGATGGAGAGACAGTTCAAAATAGCTCGTGCACTCAAACGTTCTAAGATGGCTCCAGTTTGACCCCGTTTTCTTTATTTCCCGTGTTCAAACTTAAGAGGTGAATCCAAACATTTTTTTTTTCCAATGCCATGTGTGCACTTCCACACTAGTGTGCAAATACGTTGTCACTTCCTACACCTTACTTGGCTTGCAGTGTTGCAGTTTAGTTTACAGGGCATGTCAACTTTTATCCTGGAAATGTAATTGCTTCGGGGACCAGATTACCCGTAATGCTGAGTATTATCTGTGGCTTTAGTGGGATTTACTGCAGGTCTGCTAAACTGCTGAAGTTTGAAAACGGTTAAATAAATGTTGACACTAATCCTACGGTCACAGTCCCACCTCTTAATGGTGAGGTCGGGTGAGACACGGGTGGTCCCGGTGAGGGATGACACTGACTAATAATGTGACGGCCCACTCCCTTTCTTCCCATTCTTATTGTTAGCAAGACGCTGGTGGAAAACCTTCGTGTCATCCAAGGATTTTCATTTCAGACTTCCAGGACAACGAAAGAGGCTGTGACCCTGCGGTCTACATAACCAGTTATAGAGTGTATTCACTATAGGAATCACAAACCTACATTCATAACCTTAATTCTAATATTTTTTTTGAAATTGGATTAATTTTACCCCAACAGTCCATTCTCTTCATTTCATAGTGTTTCTTTAATCTTAGCTTAAGGCCACTCTGGTCACCAGCATACCCCCGCAGTTCCAGTCTGACCTGTTTGCTTGGTCTTGTGCGGTTATACAGACGAATTTGGAATGTCCACCTTTAAAAGAATTAAAAAATGCCTCACCCTCATTTGCCGACAATACTAGCAAACAGAAGCAGAGGGAAATGGACCTTAAGCAGTCAAAATGATTCACAAGCAACGCGGAATTAGCAACATTTTTGCTCAATGGGTACGTTCATCACATCTTTTTGATTTTGAATTGATTTTACATTCCAAAAAACAAAACTTCAACCCGCTAACATTTAGTACGACTCTTATTAGGGAGAAGTCATCCTACCAACTTAGCATCCGTGGCTGACATTGGCTTGTTTTTACAATACCAATGCTAGCTTAGCATTGCTACCCCTGCACAATCGGGTATCATATTGGTAACATGGAACAGACCCAGATGATTTGCGGCTGTCCTAAACACACCAGGCTCCTCCCATCCCCCAAAACGCCATAGCTAATGTAGGATGAGCTGGAATTGGAGGCAAGCCAATCACAGATTTAGGACAAACAGAAATAGTATATGTGGTTTATTTTAGGATCACACTAAGACCTGACGATTTGGCCCCAGGCCTTGCTAAGTCTTCTTTTTAATTTGGAGAGAATTAAAAAAAAAAATGCTGCAGCGAGTCTTCTTTTTAATTTGGAGAGAATTAAAAAAAAATGCTGCTCTCCTCGAGATCCATTACAAAAATGTTGATGCTCGATTCTAATACACCGTTAGAAATATATTAATCTAACAATGTTGCTGCATTTGGAGTTGGCAGTAGTAATCATACTGTACACATGTTGTATATTGTACATATGTTGCTTTTATCATTTACTCTCAATAGATTTTGATTAATAAATACAATTCAAAAAGGAGAATATGTATTAAAAAAACCCAGTTTTAAAATATTCACTTTACAGAGAAGCATATGAGAAAATAATGTCAGATGGACTGGTCATGAATATTTTCCATACAATAGTTTCCATTTTCAACACTTTTCCAGACTTGGAAGTTTATTAAATCAAATGCAATACTTTTCCATACTTGTGTATACCTTGAATTTTGGTAAATGTCATTCATCCGCTGCACCGCCTGCAAACGGAGACCCCCAAGGTTCCATACTTGGTCCTTTCCTCTTTTCTCTGTATCTGTTCCCCTTCGGAACCATTAGTAAGATATGGCACTTCGTTTCACTTTTATGCAAATGACACATGAATCTGACTGTCACCAAGTGTCCCTAAATTGTGTGGCGCCTTTTTAGAGTGTCTGAAGGACATTGACGCTGGGATGGCTCTGAATCTTTTTTGAATTTCAGTGCAAGTAAAACCGAAGTAATAATATTTGGACTCAGTGGTACCCCTGATGACCCTCTTGACCTAGGTTCCCTACCTCTCCATATCAAAAACACCGTTACTAATTTGCAGGTAAAAACTGACGCTGATTTTAAAATGGATCATTTTGGAGATGAAAGCCATCTCTTTTCAAATGACAATTTCATTGAAGGTCGAGCCTTTTCTTTAGTTTCATGATTTTGAAAGCTTTTGTCTCCACCAGACTGGAGTCGTGTAATGTCCTATCTGTAGGCGGCAGCCAGGCTTCCCACCCTCCATAATTAGTCCAGAACACCGCTGCCTGACTTTTATCTGGAGCACTTCTCACCTATACTGGTGTATCTCCACTGGCTCCAAATGTTGCAGCCACCAAAATCTGGAATGAGCTGCCCCTCTCCCACCCTCTTTAGATTTAAACAAGAGACTTCAGAGGGGTGTTCCAAGTGGCCAATAGAGCTGGTAGAAACAAAGCTTCACTGTATCAGTAATTAGACCCTCGGCTTCCACGTTAACATGGAGGGCATTGTGCTTCTCCATCTGCGGTTTTGTCACACATCAATCGCACCATTTATCCGCAGCATGTGCTGGGGCTTTTTGAAGAATGTAACAACATAATTGTGATCAGAGAGCAGCTGTGTGTCACAGCTGGCAGCGACTTTGAAGGGAAGGATCAGAATAAGATAGTCGCTTGATATGTGTGTAATGTCTTGGCAGAGGAAGTCGTCGTCACGGAGAGATCGGCTTAATTATGGTGGAAGTTCATGTCAAATGCAAATCAAAGGAATTCATTAAGGCAATTTCCAAGCCTCAAGTCAAGTTGAAATGACAGCGTTTCCTCCGTGGGTGGGGGTTTGGGTTCATACTAAATTCCGGAGGTTCAGGTACACTTCGTGGTGGCTTGGCTCCCGTTGGCTACAACATAACTTGAGCTGCGTGCTGCCATTCTCCCGTCCATCATCTTTCTATGCCACTTGTCATCATTTGAGTTCTCAGTTGAACACGCGCCAATCACAGCAGACTTTGTGCAAGAGTCGTGGTGCACCTTGAACTGGTCACTCGTCAGTCGCAAGGCACATACAGACAAACAAGCATTTACCTAAACATTCACACCTATGGACAATTTGAGTCTTGAATGAACCTAAAACAAAAACCCCTAAAGCATAAGGAGAAAATACAAACTTCACAAAGGACAGCTGAATTTTCAATCCTTGAGCCTCGCCCTCAGAGGCAAACAGGAACTTTAAGGACAATCATAATAATTATGACTTAACTCTTTCATTCCACAAGACGTCGCGGGCCACATTTTAGTTACCGTTTTCCTTGGAGGGCCGTTATGAGTGAAACCACATAAAGAAGTCAAGGAATAACGGTTTATTCTCCTATTGTTTAAGTTACTGTAATGAGAGGTTTAATAACAATAACAATAACAAGAAAATGCTTACAGTATCACTCTTATTTATTACAAATGAGAAGTTTAAATTTTGGTCGAGATTTTAGCAAGCATCATGAAATGAAAGTAGCCATCTTTGATTTGCTTTCGCGGGCCACATAAAATGATGCGGCGGGTCAGATCTGGCCTCAAAAATATTTTGATCCATCCAACCCACTCCCTCTTGTTGACTGAGCCACACCAGCGTGTCTTCCTGTCACATCTACCTTACTTAAACAAGGATATCTGGCCAATTTCTTCAATTCTACCGCTCCATATCAACATGTAATTATCATTACCAGGCCTAATTTCTGCTGCATTTAACCTTAAGTCACCTGTTAAGTTGTTAGGTAAGAGTTAACAATTTTTTTTTCAAGCTAGGAAACATTACAGGTGGTCAGATAGTATCCCTGTCATTTTTTTAGTCGCAAAGAGAGACGCATGTTTTTGCTATGCACATCGTAAAGCTAAGTTGCTACGATGTGTGCGTGTGTGTGTGAGTGTGAGTGTGCGTGTGTGTGTGTGTGTGTGTGTGTGTGTGTGTGTGTGTGTGTGTGTGTGTGTGTGCGTGCGTGTG